ACCGTCACCTGAGGACGGAGAGAAGGCCTTCACAGAGGAAGGACGTGAGTAAAATAGATGCTTAAATTTTATAGACATACTATTATTCTATCTAAAGTTAAGTATTATTCCCTGCGCGCGGGAATTCTTTCATAGACAATTTAAAGGTACTGTGTTGGCAACACATGTATGGTATATTTTTTTTGTGACTTTTGTCGGAATCAATGATAATGCGTCAAGTGGAATTCTGTAACAATTCTGTGAAAAATTTTCGGTACATGTAGCATCAGCATAACTGTGGAGTTAAAAGTGTTTTAGCACAATAATTTTGGCCTGACCATTTCTTGGATTGAGTGTTCGACCATTGATTAAAATTCATTAAGGTAATAATAGATGAAATAAAAATGAAAAAGGTGGCACTCAAATGAATTTCAAAATTGATACATCAAATAACGCACCATCTTGAGGGACAATGTTACGAGTAAAATTCCACGTCATTTAAATATGAAAAAAATAATTAATATATAAGAATTTGGATTATCGATCATTATCAAGAATAATTTTAACATGGAAATGCAAAACTCAAAGTTAGAGTTCACTAGCTGCTCGTGCATGGCTTGGTTCAGCAGACATCAGTGCAGGCCACGTCCTGATTTTTAGGAATTAGAATCAATTATGTTAGCCAGCTATTTTTCAATTAGTTAGAGTTAGTTTAGCTTAATTCTAGAATCTTCTCACTACCAAATAACTATGTATAAAATGGTATGTTTGTCATGATCAATATGTAGTGAAATATATCTTCATCTTCCTCAGTTTTTTAATTGGTATCAGAGCCAATATGGCTAACACCGGATCCGAAAATCAGTCCAATCCATCAGAATTCAATACAGCTCCAGCTACTCAAGCTGCTGCTAGCAAGAACTTGACATATGAAATGAATATAACTCAAAGACCCTCAGTTAAACTCGACAAGAATAATTTTATGCTATGGAAGAACATGATTATGCCCATAGCGTGCCCATAATCAAAGGGCATAACCTTGAAGGATATCTATTGGGGACAAACGAGTGTCCACCTGAGTTTCTAGCCACCCAAACTATAGTTGGCTAGGGAGAAACAGTCGAAATGACCCAAAACCCAGAGTTTCTGAAGTGGAACTCGGCTGATCAGCTCCTTATGGGATGGTTGTATTCTTCCATGACTCCAGAAATCGCCATGAAGGTGATGGGCTGCACTAGTTCGAACAAACTCTGGGTAGCAGTGGAGGAAAGTTTTG